GGAACTGCGCAGAGGGAAGCCCGCCCTGGAATGTATACCGTTTGTCCTCCTCAGAAGCGGAGGATGACGCGGTGTGCTCCCTGGTGGCTTGCGTGTCGATAATGACTGGCGTGTTGGGTGTCGGCGGCGCCGCTGAGCAGTGCGGCCCGGTTGCCACTGGGGTACGCGCCGCCATCTGAAGCAGTAGGTTCTCTTGGTTGCGGTCGAAGTACATCGGAGACCGCGGCGTCGCGCTCACGGGCTTCTGAATTCCTCGAGGAAGGCTACCCGTAGCAGAGGCAACACGACGCATGGGGCTGGGAAGCTCCGAGCGACGTGGCATCTCCATCCCAGTCTTCATGCCAGCTTGGTTGTATGAGAAGCTTCGCATGCATCCAGTTCCGAGCTGAGCGGGCCGCTTCGTGTTGCGCCGACTGGCAATGTCCACAGGCGGGGATTTGAAGTGAAGGCTGGGAATACCCGACATGGGTGACTGTGCAGAATCTGGCGACAGGTGCTCGTACTTCATGGCATCCGCACTACGAGCCTGAGCCTCGTCTAGGTTGACCGAGCCGTATCGTGAGGCAAAGGCACTCATGGAATCATCCATGTCGACGCCGCTCGACATGCTTTGGAAACCGGTATATGAGGAGCCCGTCGATGATTCTGGGGCTGTGGAGGCGTAGTGAGTTGGGATGGAGAGGGTGAGGGGCCCAGGCCCTTGCTGCTCGGGCATCTCGACTGATGAGATAGAAGAAAAGTCGCAAGGCGACTGTGAGGGGTAGAACATGCCGTCCGTTGATGAGAAGTCGTTGAAGTTCTGCTCAGGCGCTTGGAAAGTGGAAGACGTAGGCGATGTGCTGTCTGTGTCCAGTTCGATATTCGGCTCGCCGGGTCCTTCCAGGGGCATGTCTGCGGTCTCGGTAGGTTCAGGGCTCGCAGACGAGTCCATGGAAGGGAAAGGGGCGGCTGATGGACGAAGGTCATCGTGATGGTCGTCGTCAGGATAGTACTCCTTCCCCACGTCCTGCTTTGGTTGATCCGCTGCTTGCTCCGACTGTCGGCGAGCCTCGTTCTCTTGGGTGCGTTTCTCCTGCTTGGCCTTGGCTCGTCTGTTTTGAACCCAGTTCTGCAAACATGTCAGCGAGATGTTCAGCCCCGCGGGGCGTGATTTGGGTTTAGGGGGGGGGGGTCAGTACGTTGATTCTCGCAATATCCACCCGCATCTCCTCAGCAAGCTGCTTCTTCAAGCTGCTGTTGGGCTTGTGGTTCCTCTGGAACTCGCGCTCCAGCTTGTCAACTTCATCCTTGGCTAGCCTGGGTTTCGTCTCGGTGGTCCTTGCGCCGTGCTGGATCATGGCATGGCGTCTCCAAGCTTCAGCGTTGGCCTGGTACTGCAGGGCGGTGTTCGATGGATATTGTCCATTGTTGTAGGAGCTGTACTGGTAGACGGGATAGTTTGGAAAGTAGTTCATGGTGACGGCTTGTGGCCCTAAGGTGGGTGGTCCGGGTAGAGTCGGGGTTGGGTGTGGTTGAAGCAGGATGCCTTGATACACGATGGGGCAACGAGCGTGAAGGAAAACACGAGACAGTGAAGGTAGTCTCAAGCTGCGTAGCTGGTTGCTCGTGTCGAATCCTATTTCAAAGAAAGACTAAGGGTCGGTAAGGCGTCCAAAAGGTTGGTGAAGTTTCGGGTTTGTTGTAATGAGTGTGGTGGTTGGGTTGGAAGAGCAGGCTCTCGGGTCGTTTCAAGAAGAGGATCGATGGGGGACTCGTCGAGGTTAAGACAGAGTCGGACCTGGACGAAGCTTCGGAAGGGCGGGCTAGGTGGAAGGGTAGGGAAGAAGGGTGAGGGAAGGGTACGGATAGAGTGAGACAGAAGACTGCCAAACGTGTTCCCCCAGATCAAGGTACGATGCGCCTGTCCCTGTAAAGGAGACCCTCAGTCGTTTGAAAGAACCTCAAACAGGGAAAAACAAGGAGCAGAGGGTGGAAAGTCAGGAGGTGAGGTGGACGGAGCGCAACGGGCAAACGGGGGGGTGAGAAGCTGATGTATCACAGACCAAGTGCGTGCGACTTTGATCTGTGGTCTGTGAGGGACGTGGGTGTAAGTCGCGCGGTGGTAAGGTGCACGCTGGGGGGGAAAGGGGGGGACCAACTAAAGCGCTGGGGTGCGTTGGGGGTGCGCTGTGCTGCGGTAGGCGCTGGGGTGGCGGCAGGGCGGCACCAGGGGCACGTAGGGGGTCTGCCCTTGACGGGAGGAGATCGTGTTAGATTGAGGTGAAGTTACCTAGGTAGAGCGACCTTGTACTCGACCAGGGAGTACATGTGGTGACGACCTTGGACAGGCAAGGCAAGACGAGGTGGGCGGGCGGGGAATGGCAGACCCAGAAAGTCAGCCCAAGGCACCAAGCAACAGGCAGGGACTTACAGGCCTGCAGGACCACCAGGAGGACCACCAGCAGGCGACCTCATCCCTAATCTTCCGGTCTGCTGCCCAGGGCGGGACAGCGCAGCGCATGGCACCCGCACCACGCGCGCGCGTTCGCTCATGCTGGGCTGGCTCGGGCTTGGGGCTTCGGCTGTCTTCGTGCTGCTTGTTGGTGTCCTGTCCTACTACTCCGAGCAGGCCACCACAAAAGGCGGCAGAAAGGAACAGGGTACAGGCCAAGTTGGTGGGCATGGCCCACTCCGAGCGAACCCCCCTGATCCTAGCTTCTGCAGACTCCTGGGCCACCCACACTCTGCCCCTTGACGGTGCCACACGAGGAGCTGGACGGCGGTCCCCTGCCTTGCTAGCTGAAGATAGGCCGAACGATGCCCAGCGATAGGGATTGATCAAAGAGGGGCCGGCAGGTCGCGGCGAGGGCGAGCAGAATGGGGCGAGGGGGAAGCAAGACATATTGATCGTAAGATAGTCCCAGGATGCGAGATGCCTGAGGGTCGGCGGGGGAGAACGCCAACCGCGCGACGTGATCAAGGAGAAGAGTAGTCAAGGGGCACCTCGACGCGGTTCGAGTCATCCTATAAAGGGCCCAATCATCGTGGTAGCGCGTCCTTCGAACCACGACGCGTTTCGATGCTTCAACTGTACTGTGATAAAATGGTACCGGGACGGGACGAGGGAGGCTATTGTCAGATTAACCCAGCCAGACCAGCCAAAAAGGCCATAGGGGCCATAGGGGCCATAGGGGCCAGGGAGGCGGACTTGACGTCGGAGTGGACGCGCCTTGGGCTGGCCAGGTGATGGGTGATCAGGGTGCCTTGGCTGAAGTGGGTTTTGGTGGTGGGTGGTGGGTGGTGGTGATGGCTGATGGGTTGACGGCCGATGATGACGAGGGATGGATGGCACCGAACCGACCGGGACCGAACCAGACCAGGCCAAACCAGAACTGGCTGCCCTGACGCGGCAGGGTCGGGCGGTGGACGACGCACAACGTGCGACTGACAAGAACAAATGGCAGAATTGGCAACCAGTCGATCATCGAGGGCGATCCGATTCGAACCGATAAACGTCTTTGACGGGTGGCCAAAAGGAGCTGAGCCGTATTCTTCTTTGCTGAGCCTCCCAAACAGAAGCAATTGGTGATCGCTGCTTCTTAGGAAAGGTCGTGGCTGTTCGGCAGTCGATCATCCGAAGCAACGGTAACGACCTTGTCTCCTCTCCAGGCCGAGGCCGAGGCTTGGGGCCATCATGTTCTGTTTTTTTCTCTTATGAGCATTTGCTCAGTGTTGCCTTTTTGGCCGCCATGGAGATGAGGGAGCTCATAATTAGTGGGCTTTATTGATTCGTCAATTGGGCGGTGGTGATGAGGGCGTCGCCTCTATCCTGTTGACTGACTGACTGCCGCTGACAACAAAAGTTGGGGGGTGACAGGATGGCTCTGGCCATGTCCAAATGGAATCATCACGGCAAGACGCCCAAGCCACCATTTGGATCAGCTGGCAGGGGCTTCCAAATCGTCAGTCTTGGCTTTTCTCCACCTCTGTGAGCTCTGACCTGTTCAGACTTGGTCTGACTTGCCTCCCCGTCACTGGCCCACCACCATCTGCTGCCCATTGCTCCTTCCCGTACCCATGGCAATTCGCATCACAGCCTCTTTCGTCTGTTGAGGTG